CACATTATATTTAATTCATTATTTTTATGACTAGAAATCATTTCTGATCACGCAGGGATCACTCAAACATGTCCTTCACACATGCAGGAAGTAATTTACATCTGTTTAACATATGTTAATGAAGCCGTGTCAGGGGAGGTGTCTTACCTGCGCTCAGTTCCACGTTAATTGTGATGTACAAAAGCAATGTGCGTGGATTCAGGCGTACGCACAGTTTGCTACATCTGGATTTTTTTGTGCGTACACTGTTTTCTGGATTTGACCATACTCCAGGTTTCAGTAAGAAATCCACGCAAGTCTTTGTACATGAGGCCCCAGGTCAGATGCTTGAGTTACTCCACACATGAAATTAAATTCTAAAGAATGGTGCATCTGATCTAATCTCACTTTTCTTAGACTCCTCAGTAAAGCAGTATTTATAATATCTGGAGCACTGAGCTCTGAGACGCATGCTGGTAACGAGGGTTTTTTTTTCTTGTGAAGTTCTGCTGTACATCTCGATGAAGAACTGTAGACAGCAGGAGTAACGTGACCTTCTCGAAGTCACCTAAGGAGTTATCTTTTGTTTACAACACTAATACAGAAGCCTTCAGTATTGATTATATGTAAATACAGTTTTATCAAATGACATTTTTTTAATAAAATTTTGACAAAAGTGACATTTGGATTCAGATTTGTGGAAGATTTAAAAAAATCTCTTTCATTTTGACCCCAGCTCATGATTAGACATTGTCTAAATTTTTCAAGTTTCATATTTTTTGGAAGCATTTTTATTCCTGTTTTTCTACCCTTTTGTTTAATTTATTTTTTAAGTAGCAACTTTAGAATGTCCAACTCTCCCAAAACAAACAACAAAAATCAATAAATTAATGGGGTTTTTTTCTGTTGTTTTTTGGCTCAGACCTTTGATGATCGTAACCCAGAAGATAACCATGTTGGCTTTCCAGCTTCATGATGGTAAGACAAACACACACACTTGTCTCTCATTACTTGTGTGGACTGTAGGGGTACTCTTCTTCATCTCAGGACTTTCCATTGACTTCCATTAATTTCTGCAGTCTAACCCTGACCCCTTATTCTAAACACAACCAACTATAGTCCTAAACCTAACTCCTGACCCACATATTGGGGTTTTCCATTGTGCGAACCAGGCAAATGTTCACATAATGACAAAACATCCTCATAAGCATAGTATGATGTCAAAATATGTCCACACAACAATAAAATACATGTACACACCTTTGTTCTTCTATCCTCATGGGGACTTTACATTGACTTCCATCAGTTTACTGGTAATTTATACAGCCTAACCTTGACCCCTTACCCTAAACCTAAACCTAGCCCTTAACACCACCAATGGTATTTCCCCAAATGGGGACCAGACTTTTGTCCTCATTATGAACAGTGGGTACTCACCAGGCTATGTGGACTGGGGAAAAAGGTCAACACAAGATGCTGGCAAGTCTTTATGTAAAAGCAGCAATGTTTTTGTAACACAAAATGTTGAAGACGTAGCAACAATAAATATTCAGGTTTACTAAGTAAGTTATTAATGGTTTTGAAGAAATTTTGTAACTGATTAATTAAATATTAGATTCAGTTTTGTATTTTATACTTTCTGATCATTTCAGTCTGAAAGGCTGAAGCTGACAAAGAGTTGCTGTGTGTGTTATCATGTGTTCTGTCTTTTAGCCTAAACAAAAATGAGTGACGTTGTACATTATAGATGTACATTATAAGCTCAATTCATTATTTTAGTGAAAAGAAGTTGTCAGTGTTTTGCAGAGTGTCTGCTCAGAGCAGAGCTCCCGTGTTTGTTTTGACTCAGCCCAAGGTTGTACACTGAGGCCTGTGCTGCTGAATGCTGTATGAAACTGATTGGAGTCAGAAGACTAAAAATAAAGTTTTAAAGAAGAAATCCAGCAGATTCCTGTTTTATTCGGACATTTTGAACAACACATATTTTTCAAACAGTTTCATTTCTATTGAAATGGTTTAGTGTGATGTTCAGAAATGAAACAACAAAGTATATGTTAGTCATTAATAATGTGCACTTGTTAATTAAATGTATGAAAAAGATGAGCTAGAGTGAACAATAATTGTTAATTAATAATTTACAATAAAATAAATACAAAAACATGTACAATAGATTGCCTTCAGGCCCAGTTCGCCCTTGAAAAAGAGATCTAGGATCTCATTGGGATTTGCCTGGATAAATAATGGTAAATAATAATAATAATAATAAACTAATAACTTCCTTTGTTTCCTCTTTAGGTCTGTGTAAGAAAAGTGAACAGCTGACATCAGATCAGAAGTTCATGGCTATAAAGTAAGTTTCTGTTTTCAATCAAATGAATAAAGTACTTTGTTTTTAATCCTGTTGTTATAACATGCTTCCTTTTGTTTTCCCTTTTGAAACGAGTGATTTCAGAAACAAGGCAGCATCTTCAAATCAAAACTGGAGGATTGTATCTAAATTACCTCAATATTTATAGAATAAATCCCTTTTCTTTTCCTTTAGCCGCGAAGGACAGTGACAAGCAGATGAGATCATGGTGACTAGCTTGTTCATGAAAAAGGCATGTTGAAGTTGCAGAAAAGAAGCACTATTTTGCATGAAACCTTTTGCATTTTTTTCGCTGCATGTGAAATCATCACGTCTTCTTTTCCCATCAGTGAACCCATGCATGTCATTGAAACTGTAACCTGAGTGCATTTAAAAACAAATCATAAAATATAGTGTTTTCTTGTGGGATAACCTGAAACTTGCAGATTTAGTTGTTGTTTTATGTGTTAATTTAAACAGGAATGTGCGTGAATTAAATGTCTGATTGTTGTTCTAGTTTTTTTATATATTGACCCATGATGAGCAGAAAGTCAGCCTTTTATATTAAAACTAGGAAAAACAAGATTTTTTTTTGTGAAATCCGTTACTCTTCAGTTCCTGATTCCCAGCTGTGCTCAGTTAAAAATGCTCTGTACCTAATAAAAATAAAAGTAAATTTATTTTTATGTGACTTAAAATACCTAGCTTGAATTCAGCTAATAATTACTACAAGTTTACAAGCCTCTTTCTTTTGTATTTTCTTGCTTGATTTCAAATTCTGTTCACCTCTCATGTTTGTTTTCACCCTAAAGACAATGCTGGTCATAACCGATGACCTCAAGCTTTTCTGTCCTGCTCTCTGCAGAACGAGGCCGTCTCTCCTGGAGTACCTGAGTTATAACTTGAACTTCCTGAGCGTCCTGGTGGGGCCGTGCAGTAACTATCAGGACTACATCGACTTCATAGAGGGCAGACACATAAGCCGCCGGCTGAAGCAGCACACTGCCACGTGTAACGGGCAGAACGGTCACAATAAGACACCTGACATATCGCCTTTTGTAAGTGAGTCTATATGTGGTTGCTTCTGTTATGGACTTTGGTATTGTAGCATTTATTCATTTTTTAATGTGGTAGTTTCAAGGTTTTAAAAGTACTCTAACTTTGGATAAAGTGTTGAAAAGTGCTTGGAACTGGGAAAATAATTAGTTTTGTTAGACATGGTTATAAAACACAACGACCTGTATGCATTTGCTAGCCTGGCCAATGCCATCCTGCACAATTCCACTCGATTAACCTCCCTCCTCTGCTCCGTCTGGGATTTCTCCCATTGACATGGATTTCTCCGGTAGAGTTTCAACTGGGCCAATCAGCAAACAGAAGGAGTTGTGAATGATTTTCTGCGCCGTTTTAGTCGGCCTGTTTAGCAATGGCAGTGGAGGAAGTGAATGAAGCCATTCAGTCCGTGTTAACAAGGCTTCCAAATATTGAGCAATTAAAGTTGGAGCGAGACGAATGTTTAAGACATTTTATTGCTAGCAAAGATGTCATGGCCCTGCTCCTCATTGGGTTTGGCAAAAGTCAAATTTTCTTGTTGGCTCTGTTAGCAAAGGAGGCAGCTAGGCTGAATGCTACAGAAGCAAACCTCTTCGTTATTGTTGTTTGCCCTCTTCTGGCCTTAATGGCTCGAATCAAAGAGGCTGCAATGGTTGCAATTTCCGGTTAGCTTCTTAGCGTAGCTTCCTTCAAAGTTGAGCTAGTGCACTACATACACCACAGCCAAACGTTGGCGATTGGGTAAAACCAGATCCAGTTGTTTCAAACTTCAACAGAGTCCATGCCTTCATCAAGCAATTATTTCTCAAGCTGAGGGTCCAGACCCTCTGTATGAAGCAAAGTGAAGAACAAGGGGCTGGTTTTTACCAGGCTATGCATGTGGTGAAGTAAGAATGTGTTTTTGATTCAAAACACACCGATGTGTTTGGTCTTTCTGAAGCAGTTCCCAAATGGGGAATGCTTCAGAAGATTACTGTAATTTTAAAAAGGATAGATAGTTGGTCATAACTGTTAAAGTTCTAAAAAAAAAACAATAACTTGATGGTGACAAAGCCTAATGAGGCCTCTCAGACAGGTCTATAAAGCTTGGAAATCCACATTACTCCAGACAGTTTGAATTGAGAAAGCTTCCTAGATGGAAAGCAAAAAGTCTTCAGCTTCAGAATAAAATGTAAGGAAGTGAAAGAAGAAAAAACTATCTTGACCATGACCTTGATGACTGAGAATCTTCAGCATCATCTTACAAAACCTTCTTGTCAAACTGTGTATTATTGTTTGTACATTTCAACCAACAATAGTTGGGGTCAGAAATTTTTGCCACTTGAGTCAGAAGCTGAAAAACAGAACCGTTCATGTAGAGCGCAGCTGTCAAACTCCGGTACTCAAGGGTCGCTATCCTGCATGTTTTTCTTGTTTTTCTGCTCCAATACGCCTGAATGACTTTGAATTCTGTAGAAACCTGTTAATCACCCATTCATGTTAATCCGATGTGTTGGAGCAGAGAGACGAAGAAAACATGCAGAAATCCCTCGAGAACCAGCATTTGACACCTGTGATGCAGAATACACAAAAAGTCACCAGCGTTTTCTGAATCTGAGCAGTGTAGAAGTGTACACCAGTGAGCTGCAGAGGACCAGTTCTAACCCTGGATTCTTTGTTTTCACCCACATGTGAAGAAGTTTTACAAGTGTTCCATAGATGAGCAGTACCTGCTAATTTCCCTCTTTACACTCGAATAGCTCCATTGTTCCCCTGGCTTTGCTTCTTTTTGTCTTTCTGTTTAAACCTCTTGTGCAAACGTAACTGGAGAGGAAGACTGAAACTGGGGTAGAGAGAGAACAGCCGCGGTTAATTCCTCACCAGATTTTATTCATCAGAAATAGTTTTTAATCAATAATAATTGTTTAAAAATGTGAAAACTCGCTTTAAATACTTAAAAACGTCTGAATGGCTCTGGCATCTCCCAACAAGTGGAAGATGCCAGTGCTTCGTAAAGACAAAGATGAAGATTGAGAATGAAGTATTCATGTTTTAAAAATGTGTTTCTCTTTCAGAAAGCGGTGTGTCGAAAGCTTCTGGTGTGCTGCGGCTGTTTGCTCCTCTACTTCTATGTGACTCGCTCGCTGCCCATAACCTTTAACGTCGACCCCGACTTCCTCAGCCAGACCCCGTTCCTCTACAGACTCACTTATGCTTTCTTCTCCATTCAAGCAGCGAGACCCAAGTTCTACTTCGCCTGGACGCTCGGTAAGCACAGTGTGGGACTGTGAAGGTTTCTTTTTCTTTGCTCCAAAAACAAGCCTTGTTTGGATTTAAAGAGACAGCCTCAAAACGAGTTGATCCGAGACACGCTTCAGAAAAGAGGTTAAACGAAAGCATAGAAACTCCACTTTATATAGACCCCAACTGAATGATTAAAATGTGAAAAAGAAGGATTTAAAAGAATCGTATGTCTACTTTAAACACAGCCTCCCTCAGGGTTGTGGCTCGCATGAATGGAACTGATGCTGTACCCTGGGATCAGAATACAGTCATTAACTTGACAAAAATGTCTTGAACTCTATCTCAAAAACCAAAGAGTTGTGCTGCTGGGCTTGAAACAGAGCCAAAGATTATGGGTCATCACTCCTCCAGCCAGTTGTCATCCAGGGCCAGCAGGTGGAGTCCTTTAAATACCTGGGAACTGAAGTGGACACACTTGTCTGTAAAACGGCACAACGTCTCCACCTGCTGAGGAAGCTGAGATTTCTTAATGTTAGGGAGGAGATTTTAACTCCTTAATAGAATCCATCTTCACTGTCAACATTATATATATCTTGGTACAAATTTCTCAAGTTCAAATATAAAACTGAACTGTCCAGTGTTATTAACCAGGCCAGCAAAATGACCGGATTACCACAAACGCATCTTTCTGACCTGTTTAAAGGAGACCAATTATGGGTCCTAGAAATTTTTATGGTATGTCTGTGGGCTATCCAGACCATGTTCATTCAATTTAATGCACAAAATAATTCTCAGATAATAAAATTTCCCATTTTCTAGTTCTGCCTGCTCTGACTTCCGTTCAGAAGAGCTGTTTCTGTTAATGAGCTCTGTTGGTAACGCCCTCCAAAAATCTGTTGACATTAACTCCGCCCTCCAAAGCCAGTGTTTACCTTAGCATGGATAATAATAGCAGAAGCTCCGTTGTACAACCATATGAGACCCTGTGAGACCCAGAGGCAGAGTCGTGGTCGCAGCTTCTTTTTTTTTCCTCCCCTCCTCTGCTCTGCGCTCACTCTGCATGCTGTTACCAGAGCAGGGAGCAGCAGCAGCGGTCAAAATACCTCAGAAACTCGAACAAACAGGCTTTAACAAGGCTTTAATAAGCTAAACAATAGAGGTACATGAGAAAATATGTTCATAACGAATGAAAATAAATAATTAAATTGTGTCAGTGCCAGTCTCGAACCCTAGTCTCCCACTCTCAGGTCCAATACTCTACCCATTGCCCTATTACAAGGGTTGTTATGAACAGAGCTGCGCATTGCACAACAACAACCGTGACGGCTTTTTATACTGAGGAGGTGGAGCCTCACCTGGAGGTTGCTAGTTGAGGGGCAGAACGCAGGTTCCGGTGGGTTGTCGTACGGCTTGTGACATCACAAAATGTAGGAAGTATAAAACTTGTCATTAATATACATAAAAAAATACATTTACTTACAGTAAATTTGCCCCTGGGTGCATTTTTTGGTCCTAGGACTGTTTTTTAAAGAAGTATATACCCAAAGTTGAGTCAAAAAACCTTTTAAAAAGTGAATTTTGCATAATAGGCCCCCTTTAAGAAATCTGCCATCAGTGGATCCGTCTCCCCCCTCCATCTGTCAGTCCAGCTGCCCCCATCAGACAGAATGTTCTTTGATGGAGCCATTGTTTTAGATTCTCTAAACATTTTAATGAAATAAAACTATACACAAGAGATCAAAATCCACATTTTGTTTGCCACATTGCAGTAAGAAACCTGATTTAATTTTAGTCCACGATATCTTTATAGAAAGGGGGAAACTGCCCTCCAGCTTTACTTGAGACGTGTTTTTGTTTCTGACTTTTCTTTGCTAATTTTAACTCTTTTGGAAATGATGTTTTATGGTAGCACACAGGGAATGTCAAGTGTTTAGTTTATCAGATCTTTGCTTGTCACTCTGTATTGTCAGCTGATGCAGTGAACAACGCTGCAGGGTATGGGTTTGAAGGTTTGGATGCAAGTGGAAAACCCTCCTGGGACCTGGTCTCTAACATCAACATTGTTGGGATTGAGGTGAGAATTTACATCAAAACTTTAGAAAGTAAAGAAGCGTTTAAACAGAAGTCTTAAAAACTATTTGTTGAGAAAAACTCGATAATGAACTGAGCGTTGCAGCATCCTCAAAGCCCTTCCTGCCTCTCCTCAGACAGCAACCAGCTTTAAGACTTTCATAGACAACTGGAATATTCAAACTGGGATTTGGCTCAAAACGTGAGTGTGAGAATAACAAACCCAGATGCTGATAGATCCCAGCAAGAGTTTCTGGATCGTTTCTCACCTTCTTCTTCCTGTTTCGTCAGGGTTTGTTATGACCGAGCCCCAAAGCATCGGTTAGCGCTGACCTTCGTCCTGTCTGCTCTGTGGCACGGCGTTTATCCCGGTTACTACTTCACCTTCATCACTGCCATCCCCATCACCATGGCTGCTCGAGCTGTGAGTACTCTGCCTGCTTTACCAATTCAAACTAGAACTGGAACTTAGAACAGGAAGACAAGCTGTGCACAAATGGAAAGAAGTAGCTTGTTGGTGAAAATTCTCTTTTATTGGACTCCTTTTAAAAATATAGGAAATCTTATATAACTTTATTTTATCCCTTGTTCCTAAGAGATTTTTTATATAAAATCTGATTGTAATTAAATAAAATGTTGTCATTAAACAGGAACTTATCTCTGCTGGTTTGTCTGCAGATACGGAGGTCTGTTCGGCATTACTTCCTGGGCTCCAGAGCTTTGAAGTTGGGTTACGACATCGTAACGTGGGCGGCCACCCAGCTGACAATCTGCTATACCGTCATGCCTTTTCTGCTTCTTTCAGTTGACAACACTTTGCTTTATTACAGGTATGCTCTTTAATTATCTTATCTTTAATTATGCTGAAGTTGTGAGGTTGTTTTTTTTTCTCTTTCACCTAAAAACTAGAAAACTGTAGCGTGACCTCCATTCATGTTTCTGCATCTTAGTTGGATCGGAGCCCGTTCATTACAAACTGGATCCACATTCTGTCTCTACATTATAAACACTTAGTGTAACTTGTGATAATCATTTAGTGGACTTATTACTCTACTCTGTCAGCAAGTTAAAACTATTGCAGGTGGTTTTGGCAGTATTATTCTACAGGACAATCTTCAGTTTCAGGAAGCACAGTACTTAGTACTACCAGTATTATCTTCATGCTGTGCTTCCAAGCACTCAAACTTTCCTGTGAACAGATCAAAGGTCCTGTCACACTATAAGATTTTAGACAACTTATGAAAAATATGTTATGACCAGTATGTATACGACCTCTTCAGAGTTGGAGAAATTTTTTTTTTATAAATTGTCTAAAACGTTATAGTGTGACAGGGGCTTATGCAACGCATCATCCATCAGCTAATCATCAAACCAGGGATGGGCAGCTTAAATGGTGGAGTGGGCCACAATCTTTTGTTGTTGACAACAAAACGTTTGAAGCAAATAAAAATAAATAAACACTTACTTTAGTGAGCTAAAGTGCAACGACATAAGATGCGTTGAGTGCAGACTCCTGCGTGGTTCTGGTAAAAAAAAGTCTCCGTTGTTTATGTTCTTACGACTTCAGTACACTTCTCATATTTAGCTTTGTGCAACATGTAGCGAAGACTTATATTAAAATCCTTCATGGCAGACAGCATCTCTAAGCAGACTAAACACATCGGTTTGCGTTAAAATTTTGTAACAGATCGTCTAAAACTTTTTTTTAAAGGCACAGTGTGTAGGATTTTGTCAATTCTTTTAGCCAAAATTGAAATAATCACTAATGACATTAATAAAAAACATGTCTAATCATTGCAGACAAAGACCTTGTTTTATTATTTTTACCTTATAAAAAGCTGTTTATCTCCATGGTCGCGGGTCGCCACTACAGGCAGCTGCCACCTTGCCTACGAAGGCTCATGTAGGACAAACTGTGGTGGCGGCGTCAAAAACGGTTTTAGTTGTAATACTATAAATGTAATATTTGTTGTCTGTCATTGTAGCTGGGATAATTTTACTCATTAAAGCTCATAATCTTACCACTTGAAACATCACTAGCCCTGAAGCTGCTGGTAGACATTGTGGTTGGAATTATCAAAGGTTTTTGACACCTGAGAGACACCGTAGCAACTCCTTTGTGTTTGGAAGTGGGGGGTGGGGGGTGGGGGGAGGACCAGGGAGGATGATTCAACCACTCAACCACTAGATGTCGCTGAAAACAACAAATCATACACACTGTGCCTTTAAATAAAAATTTTACTGCACCCTACTTCCTGGTTCCCAGGACAACCGAAATCTGGGGCCTCATTGGTGGACCGGATGTGACCTGCTGCAACATTTACATAAATCAAATCAAATGTATCAAATTACCTGATCAAATCAGAAAATCAAATATGTTGTGGGGATTATTTTTTGTGTCCCTCAAAATTTTTTTATTTGAAATATTTTTCATAGATTGAACAAAAGAAATGGGATCACATCGTCTCTTTTTAAGTTGTCTGTTGAAACGTAGGTTCATCCCTTCAGTTTACAATCCTTTTATGCCTCAATGATTCATAAGTTTGTGTGAATCATTATTTGTGTTTATTAATTGCAAAATGTTTTATTTTTTTATTGTTTTCTGTTTATTTTATTTTCTTATTTCTATTGCTGTTGGATGTTTTATTTTTATTTATTTATTTTAGTTTTTTTGGAGGGACTACAGATGTAAATTAGCCCTAGGCTAAATCTGGTGCAATGCATCAAATGTTTTTWCGTTTGTTTTAATTGCACACTGTCCTGGGAAAAAAAGATCAAGATCTAAACTGAAAATGAACAGAAGTCCCAAAAAACCCAATACCTCTTTGACAAATAATAAGAGAAACTGACTTTATACAAAATCTAAAGTTATGAGGATGACTCAACACTCCTACACGACAGTATTTCTGTCCAGGGTAAAAAAAAAAACATGAAGGCTTTTAGGAACATATCTTTAGACCCAGAAGTGCAACATTTTCCTTCTCAGTCTTTCTGCTCCCTCACATTTTCCCATCTTGTTTCCAGGTCCATGTATTTCCACGTGCACATCCTCAGCCTCCTGGCTGCAGTTGCTCTGCATCGGAACCAGAAACCCAGAGAAACCTCGACGTCCGTTTCCCCCGCCTCCTCCTCCTCCTCAGCCCAGCTCCAGCCTGTTCACTCCAACAATAACGTCAAAGTTCACTGAAAACTCCTCCTTAGCTTCGTTACAAGCAGCTCGGTCTTCTCACAGGGACAAACGGTACAGTTTCAGGTTCTCTACCTGTGACACTGTGTGCTCACAGCAAGGGTCCTGTCATTTAGAGATGTGTGTGTGTTTGTGTGTGTGTGACTGTTTGCACAGAGTTACATGCCACCTGCCTCTATCAGTGACTGTGTGTGTGAGGACTGTCGGTGTTAGCCCCAACGCTAACAGAATACTGCAAACTTCAGCTAAAACTGCACCTTCCCTGAGTGATGAGCCTCTTTCTATAAAAAAAAAAGAAGAAGAAACTTGATTCTATTTCTGTGGATTATTAAGAGATAAAGTTGTGTTACAAACTGAACCAGCTAAAAATCTGATTGGAGGAAAAACAAATTGTTCTCACTGCTGGAATCACCTTTGAAACAACAGGATTTAATGACAACTCTGGTCTGTAAAGTTTCCTAAAAGCTGGTATTGAGCGTGGACACATGCCTCTCATGCGTTTGGTGCTGGTTACCTGTGACCATGAGGGGACTGTGAGGGGGTCCGACGGAACCAGCTGACTGAACAACCTGCTGGTCTTGATGACGTCGTGAAGGAAAGTTTTCAGGCTAAAACTCAAACAGCTCAGCGTCTCTACACGTTACCCACCAGCAGCGTTGACTGATCTTTGTTTCCCCGCACCGATAACTGGAAGTGATTATATTTCCGCTCCACTTGCTCGTACTTTTGCACAGTTAAAGCTGCTGAAATGAAAGTTTGTTGAATCGCAGGTGGTCAGAAACGTGCCGCAGAGATGTCTGAAAAGGAGTGTGTTACATACACTCCTGTGCGCCTCTTTTTTGCTGATTAATTTAAACAATAATTCATTATTAATTCTGCAAACAGCTCATGAATGCAGTATCAGCTTTTTAACTTTTGTCTAAACCTATATTTTGGACTTGAAAATGGACTCTTTTTGTATTCTTTTTTTAGTCTAAAGCCTCGGAGGCGAGTCTTATGAGGGGAGAAACAAAAAGACATGAATAGTTTTGCTCTTTTCTTTCTAAGACAAGTGATAACGTAACAAAGGAGGCATCAGCTGCTGATTTTTAACTGTGGAACTTATTTTAAGGACCCATGTTTTGGGTTAAAGATGTCACTGTTGTTTTGCTCGTTGTATTTAAATGCACAAAGGATCTCACAAATAATGAAGGGCCAGTGATGGCTTTTTACTGGTCATTAAACAGTTCTTAACATTTGCGAGCTATATTTTTTATGACACAGTGTTGATGGGGAGTTGGTTAAATAAAGGAAAAAAAACTTTCCCTGACATTATGTTGGTGGCACCATTTGTCTACATGTGAGCGATATGTTGTTTTTTAGAGCATGGAGGAGGAGACGAGCAGCTGTTGGAATGATTTAACACATGATTTGTGTGTAGTCACTGTGAGAGTGTGTGTGTATGCCTCTGATGTTTCTGTGGATGCCACTGCTGTTTTTTTTAAAGTACTGTTTGGAGAAAAGAGTGATTTGTATAAATTAAAGCTTAAAAAGAAATAAACTTTTACTTAAACCCATCTGGCACATCTTGAATTATTAATGTCATTATTAATAATGACTGGGATTTAGTTTTGTGTGATTGTTGTGAATGTTATGTTTGTAAAATATTTGACTGTCGGTGAGCCTTGTTGTTTTTCAGACTCTCGGGTTGAGCTCTCCATGCCTCTCACAGGTCGTTTAACCCCGGATGACTTCCCTCAGGCGGCTCAGTCCAGGTCCCCCGAGTTGCCTGTCTACCTCCCCGACACGAGCTGCTGCGAGTGTTTTCATTCCTCCTGAGCTTAAAGAGACATTTCAAAGAGTCTCAAGAGAAACTCATCCAAATAAAAGTAAGAATAAATATTAGTCGTGTCTTGATACTGTCGAGGTATTTATGTATCAAAAGTATTTGCGTTCTGTGTAACGGATCTTGTAACTTGTAAGACAATTTGAAATTTGTAACTGTGTACTTGTGTAACAATGAACTTGTGATACTTTTTAAATCTATTACAAAACAGCAGTTACACAAGTTATTAATTGAATTTTGAGGAGACAAACATTAAGACAAATCGCCAGCAGTTTTGACTGTTCTCCCCAAAACAGGGTGGAGCCATTGTAGGGAGATAAAAGTTGATGTTTCAGTCAGAACATAATAATCAGTCATTTTGTTTTTCAAAGACAAAAAAACGGAAAGAAAAACAAAAAACAAATCTGTCAGGTGGCTTCATACCAGCTGATCTGGCAGCTCTCGCCTTACATGTTCATTTGTTTGTCAGCCACTGGCCATGAAAATGACGACATCTCTCAGGGACGCAGCTCTTCAGTTCCATTCCTTTCTGCATTTTTTGAGAAGAAAATAGAAAAAAACGTCTAGCAATATATAAGCTTCTGCTAAGTAAAACCGTGAATATGCAAAACTAAATACTATCCTTAACTAAAAATCTGAACTAGTGACTATAATCTCGTAATATTATGACTTTATTCTTGCAATTAAAAAAAAATAAAAAGATCTTGTGTGTCCCTAATACTCCGTCGTAGTTTTGTGTATAAATTAGAAAAAAAATTACAATCACAAATTGATTTGATTTGATTGATTTGATTTATTGATTCAACAGGAAAAGATTACTAAAAATCAAGCCTGACTCAGCATAATTGCTGTTTTACAGCAGGTTCCTGTCCTGCAGCACATAAAACACTCAGAAATACAGCATCACAATCACATCATTATACACCATAGACACGAAGACAAACAAGCATACCAAATTTCAGGAAGGCAGCATTTGCAAAATAGGACGTCTAAATATGAGCACAACAAAAAGTGTCCAGCAGATGGTAGACAAGATTCTTCTTAACGTTTTGAAATGGACTTTATGTTTTGAGGAATGTCATTCCATGCTTTAGTATAAACATAGAAGAAAGACCTCTGGCCGTAACAGTTTTTTAAAAGTTGGTAATATCAGTTGTCCTTTTGTAACAGATCTAGTTGAATGACCACTTCACAGTTACAAAAACAAATTCAGTGTTATACAAGTACACAGTTACGGGATTCAAGTTGTCTTACAAGTTGCAAGTTCTGTTATACAGAACACAAATACTTTTGAAACATAAATACCTCAACATAATACCAGCATTTTAACAAGTACTCATACAGAACTGATACCAGGATTGATACTCAATTCAGTGCGTTCTTTTACATTTCAAGTATAAAGTTTGTCAGTTCCATGTTTAATAAATTTATACAAGTTGAAAGTAAATGTTATTTTTATATTCATTATAAAGTTTTGCAACAGTACATAACGTGTCAAAACTCAAGGCCTGTGGGCTAAATGTGGCCCTGGGCTGTGGGGGTTCATTGGCCGGACAAGGTTTTATTTTTTTTTTACTTAATTTAATATAAAAAATTATTTTATATAAATGGTCAACTTTAATTTTTTTTTCAATGCAACAATAGGTGAAAGATGATGATACCTGCATGGCCCCTGAGCTGTTGCTTAAGAGAAACTGTGGCCTTCTGAGAAAATGTTGAATAGCCCTGTACTGTCTCAAAGAAAGCTGCTAGCATTGACCATAAACTACATCTCCCACAATGCATTATGATCATTATGCATTGGAAATTCCCTGTCAGAAAGTGAGACAGTGAGTAAAAACCCTCTTACTTTCAATAGTATTCCTGTATTATTTGTTTTACATTTTGTCAGTCGTACTTTTCATTGTTTATAAGAAGACGTGTTAAAAGGCTGTTTCTATGCAGAAAATACCACGTAGAGATCCTCAACTGTGCTCAGTTATAGCAATGGGACGAGGAACGTTTCATGTTTAGTCAAAGTTAAACATGAAACTTTGAAGTTAGTTACAACTGGCCCTTTGAGGGCCACCATAACACTCATGTGGCCCTGAGTGAAAAGCTGTGTATTTGATTTGATCCAGTCAGTCTGTAGACCTATAATGAAGGAGAACCACCTTGTTCTAATCTAAACAAAAGGAATGTATTTTTAAAGACACTGTAATTCTAACTTGTACTCGGCATCAATGACCACTCAAACTGAAGTACTTGTAATCGATTTGCGAAAAACTGGTACTGTGACACCTAATAAATATCAAATATTAAAATTACATGAAATAGTCAGGATTTATAGTTTTTGACAGATCTGTCTAATCTGAATTTTATTCCTAGTTATTATAAATGTGATTTTCATTAGCCCTGAAAAGTCACCAGTTCTTGGAAAATACAATTTAAACCAGTCATCTTAAGAATTTTAATTTTATATTTCTATTTAATATTAATATGTATTGATAAAAAGCAATGGTAAAATCTGAATGTTTTTGCAACATTTTAAATACAAGCAATAAAATACCAGTTTTAAAATATGTATTTTCGGTAGGTTTTTCCCACATTGACACAAATCTAGTTTGTATTTTTACTGAGTTTGAACAAGTACACTGAAATCATGTTACGTTCCCGAGTTAAATGTACAAAAGAGAGACCATGTGATTGTCAGTGAAAGAAAATAATAGCTAATGTGGGGGGGGGAAAAACTTCAAGCTTATCCAAACGTTTTGGATTTACATGAAAATCATTTTAAAATGCTAGTTTATTATTATTGTTATACATTTGCCACAGGTGGGAGTGAAACGTTGGCTCACTTGGTAGAAGGTTGCCAGATTGATGGATAATCAGATCGGGGCCTCATCCTCAGTAATGAAGGTGTTGTTCTGGTCAGTTGTGGTGAAGAAGGAGTTGAGTCAAAAGGCAAAGCTCACAATTTACTGGTCTAACTATGTTCCAACTCTCACTTATGGTCATGAGGTATGGATCATGATAAAAAGAGCAATATATGGGATACAAGCTGCTGAAATGGGTGTCCTATAGGGCTGGTCCCAGGCTTAGAGATGGGACGAGGAGCTCCATCATCCAGGAAGAATTTGGAGTAAAGCTGCTGCATTAAAAGGTGTCAGTTGAGGTGTTTTGAATTTGGGCATCTGATTAGGATGCCTCCCTTTGGAAGTGTTCTGGGCACGTCCCACTGGTAGGAGGCCCGGAGGCAGACCCAGAACTCACTGGAGGGATTATATATCCTCTCTGGTCTGGGAACACCTCAGGGTCTTCCAGGAGAAGTTGGAGAATGTCGCTGGGGGGAGAGATGTCTGCATTTTCCTCATGGACCTGTTGCCTCAGCGACCCGACTACGGCTAAAGAGCATGGAGATGGAGATATTATTATTATTATTAGAATTTTTAGTATTTATTTGGGCATATGGAGGGGCCAGATGGAGAATTTAGCGCATGGAAAACGAACAAGGGCCACATCTGGTCTTGAGGCTATATTTTGTCCATGGCCAGTGAGCAGTTGGCATTGACAAAATAATTCTCTGGTCATGCAAATAATTGTACTTTGGCTATCCGATTTGTTCATCTTATTCATTTGTTTTAAAATAATAAAATAATTTAAAAATAGAAGCATGGACTTGTAACATTGAGAATCAAATATTTCAAAGATTCTGCACAACCAGAATCCAATTTGAAAAATAGACCAAAAAAAAAAAAGATTAAGTAAATATTTAAAAAATATCCAATAAATAAATAAAAATAACGATTTGAAACTAATATTGCATGAGGAAGGTATGGAAAATTACAGGATTTCACATATATGTGCACAAATTCTTATATTAATTTTATTTTTCTCTCTCTGGTTTTCAGTCACATGATAATATCAAAGCAAGAATAAACATATTAAAAGACCGACTTCCCTGTGGTTTCTTACTGTTTCATTTCGTGCCTCACAAAAAAAATAGATCCCTTCCGACCCCTAGCGTTCATTCCCGGAACACGTAGCAAGTGACAAGTGACGTCGCCTGTTTACATCTGCCAATGAACACGTGGCGAACTGATTCTGGATCCACCATTGGTCAAGATGCATCTGACAAAGGGCGGGGACTCGAGCGCGGAGGACCAATGGCGTGCGGCATGTAAATTCCGTTTAAAATTTCCCCGGGAAATCTGAGTTTCGCGCGAGGGCTGTTGAGCGCGTAAACCGTATCCCTTCATTCATCAGGCCGTTTCCTGAAGCCATTTCTCGACGGCAGATACGAGAGTTGCGCTACTTTTAAATCCGTTGCATCTGCCTAAATGCACGTTCTCAAGGAGAAATACTTTTTAAAAGTCGATCATTCAGACATTCATCCTCACTTTGGTTCGAGTATTTTTGTAACCACTGCGGCGGATTAGCAGCTAATACGGGCTCGAAAGTTCAGAGACAAGAAAAAGGGGTTACCCCGAGTACGCAAGATGAGAAGAGGGATCTCCTCGGCTCCGGACAAAGTGATTTTAGCAGGCGTCGGCAGCTCCTCTCTGGACAGTAATATAATTTTAACAGCCCTGTCGGATCGTTTGAACCCTGGTCAAGCGAATACGACGTATATCCAAATAATAACCACACCACCGCCTTGCAACCTTACACAGACATCAAATGTGTGTTTATCCGAGCCGCAGGTTAACAACATTTACACAACTCCACAGCAAGCCGCGGCAAACGGGACAGGACAACGACCCGTTCTGGGAAGACCACCGGTAATAACCCGCACGGATCAGTTTGACATGTTTCAGCTCGACAAAACTGTTAGCTTGCTAAGTTAGCCGAGCTTGTTGTTCGGGGGAGCTAGCGCTAGCTGCTTAGCCAGGGCATTCCCACCACTCAGCCCCAATGCAGCTAAAAGGGGTCGGTTAAGTGTTTTTATTGACTGCGAGGAGGCGCAGGGCGAGTTTGAGTTAGTTTAATGTTTAAAAATATGCAAACCTCCCCGTTTATTAGCGAGCTAGACAACTTCAAACCACACCAGGGTCCGCTTCACCTTTGCAGCCAGATGGAAATATCGGTAAGGGATGTTAGCGTTGGCCTAGTAGCTGATGTTCTTTATTTGGGCTTGGTGGTCTTGTGTGGCTGCCTGGTTCTAAAAGGGCTTCGTTTTAAAGCTTTGTGATAAGATGGTTAAAGCAAAACTTGGCCAAAAACCCACGGGCTTATAGATATACAGCTATAACGCAGTGTGCGAACTTCTCGTTGGGTTCTGTTCAGTCGCTCCTGAGGATGCAACTTGGGTCTAGCTTGGAAGTGTTTCTAGCTTTCAAAGCTAGGATTAGTGGTTATTATTATGACTGTATTGGTCGTTCAGACCTGTGTGCTTTCGTCCTTTTTCTTTTAATAAAGTGACGTTGTGGCGCCTTGATAAAAGTGAAACTCAAGTTTGTTGCTTTAGAGCTGGTTGCACATTTCCTGTAAATTCTCCACGCATAAAACCACACGCATTGGTTCTGTTTTGCATTCAGGGTGTAGGGTTATTTTTCTTTTCTTTTTTCTTTTTCATCTGATGAACTAAAACCAGTTTATATCTCAGGCTGTGGCCATGACCAGGGAGGGGGTGAGGGGATCTGCATGCTGGTGTAAAATGGCTGACACTTTGACTGTCAGAGGACATATTTCTTCCCAGTCCTGTTCTGAATAAAACATCAGAATTTAGTTGGAAATGATTACAGTGGGTTTCTCTCCCCCCTCTCAGTGTTATTTAATCAGTAATTGCGCTTCAAAATCCACACTGCATGTTGTTGCTTGAAGACAAAAAAACTGGGTGGGCACTTCTTGCAGGTCACTGCTTTAAGAGTGCTTTTATTCTGGTGTTAGCGTTTTAATTTGAATCAGATGTGTTGGGGCAGGGGCGTCTTCAAAATATACAGGGGAAGGTTGGGGGGTCCCTTATACTAAAGACTGGGAAACCCTGCAGTATGTGATGACTGAACCCTGTACCTCACTGGGCTGCTGTTAGAGACTAGGTAGTGACGCGAAATTAGAACGATAAAAGTTTCCATTGAATTCAGAGTGTTTTACATCGATGAGCCACGTGGGCATTTTTTACTCAGCCTTTTTTCAAAACCAACACGTTTTTCTGTGCACAATTTGAAAAAAGCTGTTGTGAACATTATTTTGTTGCCCATCTCCACTTCATAACATATCGGGAATACAATTACAAATACAAGTAGGGTTGGGCATAATCGTATCGTGTGCAATTAATAGTCAGAAAAACATTAATCGATTATTTTTTTTTTGCACTTGACGATTAATACGATTAATGCCACCAGGCAGACTGACTGGATATTTCCCTGGTAAGTCCCGTCGCTGCTCCTCTCCGCTTCAAATATGACGAACATTAAAAAAAGTTCTGTAATTTATTCATCTATCAACACAATTTAAAAATTGATGCATAACCTAAAGTCTGTAAATTTGACACAATTTGAAACAGATTTTTACAAAGAGTAAATACTTCCCATTAAATTGGTCATGTGACCAAGACATAAGTGTGCCCAGGGACTCCAGGCGATCAATCGTCAGATTAATCATCATCGGCCAAATACCACAATTAATCGTGATAAATTTTTTTGCCAACATTGCCCAACCCTACAATTTAGAAATCTAGATAGGCCGATTTAGGCGGTTTTCCCCCAATAATAATCAGCTTGTGGCTTTTATACCAGGACGTGTCGTCAACTAGAGAAAAGCCCGCTGTGCAGGTGTCAAAACAAAACTTGAGTGCTCTTGAGACCGGTTGGAGAGGACTGTTTTTGAGAAGAAAACAAAACTGGCTTAGAGGAAACAGCGAAGCTTATATTTATGTTTAAAATCCTAAAATGTGGATCATAATAATCTACAATTCACGTTTAGTGCATGCATAATTCAGATTAAACATGGAGTCCAGTGATAGGAGGTCAAAAAAAAACGACTAGTGGATAAAGAGTGTAACTTAGAAATATGCTGTTATATAAAATATACAAGATCATTTGTTCCTGTTTAATTATAAGAGGTAAGTTGTCGTATTTGGAGGTGCAGGTTACAGGAGTTAATCCTTGCAGTGGTGAAATGGATTAATTTTAAAACGTCTCCACCCGTGAGCATCGAATTGAATTTCGCCATGTCCTGTCTCTTTTGGCGGGGATTTTGGAACAAAATCAGTGACTAGGGGTGCACCGATTGCAGTTTTCTGACCAATCACGGTCTTCAAAAAGCCTGACCTGCCGATTCTCATGTTTTATAATGGACTCTGTAAGGTCACAAACACCTGCAATGTTCCAGTCCCGTTCCATGGGAAAGACAGTGAACAATACCCTTGAAACAATACAAACTTGTTTTAACGGCCGTCTCATAGCAGAGCATGGATGTCTCAGTGCTTTATCAGCTCCTGCACTGGAACAAGTGTCAATCAGCATTCGTCATCTCACATCATCTTCAAGTCACTTTGTTGTGTAAAAGACGCCAGTAAAAAGATGACGAACTTGTCAAAACTTCATTTATCGGTGGAAACCATTTGTTCATGCTCCTGTTTGCGTAATAAGAAATCTTCCTGTAGAAATTTGTCAAAGTTTCACATTTTATGGAATGGCCTCAGTAATGGGTAACTTAGAAATGGAAAGAAAAAAAAATCGCTACTTTTTTGTAAACTTTTCTTTTCTCACTTTTTACCAGGCTAAGAGGCGGTTGGCGCTCGATGATTCAGACCACCAGTATCAGTCGGAACCAGCTAAAACTCCAAGAGGCAGAGGAGCGGGAGCGCCAGCAATTGGGTCACGGCTAAAGACACCCAGAAGTAAGATACACAGAATCTTTAATTTTATTTTGTGAAAAAAGGTTATCCATATCTAGATCTTTACATGGATTTTGTTTGATTTTGACATGGTGACACTTTTTTATTTATATATCATTTATTATCATGTATACTTTCTTTTAATGTATAAGCATTTCTGATTAAAAAAAATCCAAGTCTATCTTAATTATTTAAATTGTTACGATCTTGATTTGCAGTCTCCATGTCTTATACAGACTGATACAATACAGAACAAATCAAACTTTAAAAATGAGTTAAAAGTTTAAACACTGAGGCAGAACGGCATCTATATAGGACTAAAACTAGTTGAATAAAAACATTTCCATAGAGAAATTGATTCAAACCCAAAATTTATGAAACATTTTTAGCTGTATATTATTAAATGTATATTATTAAAACTTAACTTCCACTCATGGCTTGATTCGTTATTTATTTTTTAAATATATCCAGAGATTTTTCCTCCTGTTTTTTTTTTTATACAAATTTTTTCAGTTTTCTCCTTAAAAAAAAGAAAAGAATGAAAAACACTACATATTGCTTGCCTTGACGTAGCTAAAAGTTAAATCTGAAATTGCACATACACATATTGTATTGTTTATACAGTAGTACAATGAAGTTAGATCTGTGAAATCAGGACCATTGTGTTAGATAAATCTGCTCGGAGAAATCCTGCATTTTTTTAGCTGAGGAAATACTGATCCTGTGATGAAGTTTTGCTGGCAACAACAAAAACAACACAAGTAAAACAAACACTTTTTTGTGTTTTTTGTCCACCTTAGCACCAAAGTCTCCTCCGGAGAAGACCCGATACGACACGTCGTTGGGCCTGCTGACGAAGAAGTTTGTGGATCTTCTTGCTCAGTCTTCCGATGGGGTTTTGGACCTCAACCTCGCAGCTGAAACCTTACAGGTTAGTTGTAATGCTGCTGGCCGACACGCTGTTTTTATTACGTTTATTTGCTAGGGACAGACACAAAATAACATAGACAAACTGAATGCAACAGCCGTCTCATGCCTATATTTGCAGCGCTTGTCCCTAGATGGACCTTTATAAACAGTATATCTAAAATACATCTAAGAAGTGGAATAAAAAGATAGTTAAAAGTACCATTAACAGTGTCATACATGAAGCAGAGACACTACAACATAACAATAAAAGACTTGATCAGAAAATAAGACATGGTAATAAAAGACTTTAAGCATGATGGCTGACTAATAAGGCCTTTTTTCCAGGAACGTTTTTTTCTTTTACAACCCCAATTCCAATGAAGTTGGGACATTGTGTAAAACATCTGTTTGAACATTAAATTTCTTGTCTTTGTAGTGTATTCAATTAAATATAGGTTGAAAAGCATTCGCAAATCATCATATTCTCTTTTTTTTGTTTTACACAACATCCCAACTTCATTGGAATTGGGGTTGTATAATCTTTTTAAGTTTATTATCAATCAACAAAATATTTATCTCCTGCCACCAAGAAGGGTGCTTGACAAAGTAATCAGTTCATTTATTTGTTAGCAAAATATGGACATACTGTATTAGAATGAAACAGAAGGTAACCGTTGGAGGTATGTCTACAGCAGTCATCCTCATTTAAGATGGTCGCTATAGCCAGCCAGCAGTGTTGTATAAAGTACCTCAAAGTGACACTTGAGTAAAAGTACAAGTATCTTATCGTAAAAATACTTGGGTAAAAGTTAAAGTATTCTCTAAAAATATTACTTGAGTAAAAGTCATATTTTTTGTACCTAAGTATCAAAAGTAAATTTCTGACACAAAATCTACTTAAGTATTAAAAGTCAAAGTACTGAGTAAAAGTGAGCAGTTCTATTTTCCAAAATGACATTTATTGGGAGGTGACTTATCAAAAAACATTTTTTCTAACAGCGTGCAGCTGTGATGGGTTGTTTACAAGCTAATATGGTGTCAGAATGGTATAAATTTATACTTCTCTTCCAACCACAATTAAATTCACTCTATCCAGGAGACACACTATCAGGATAGTATTTTTTTTAAGTAATAACAACTTGGAATAAAATAGGAGTAATGACTTTATACATCTTACCTTTTTAAAAAAATGTAGTGAGTAGAAAATACAGATAACTGTGTAAAAATGTAATGAGTAAAAGTAACTGGATGGATTTTAATCAAACTCAAAGTAATCATTGGATGTACGTCTACAACTGATTAACTTTTGGAGTTGGCGTGATTCAAAATGGCTGCTTTAGCTAATTGACTTTAGCAAATACCAAAATTAATATAATTTACTTATTTTTACAGTTATTAAGCGAACGTTTGATGTGGTAGTAGCTGAGAATCACCCCAAACAAATCTTTGTTAATGCATGGCAGAAACAGCACGAACTCAGTGAAGGAAGGCTAGTCGTTTAATTGAATGTCGGGTGTCACATAATTGTTGTTTTTGATAATTAGTGTTTTATATTTGCAATGGCTTTGCCTTGCAAGTGTGGAGGTTAACTGTAGGAAAAGGTTGAGCTTTGCTTCGCATTGTTTTGAGTCCTGTTTGAATGAACACCTTGTGCTTTTCTGTCTCTGGGTGCAGCAGCACTTTGGCTAGTTTGGACCTTTATCTTTGAAATATACCTAAATTCAAACTATCCAACATGTGTGTGTTATTTTTTTTACTAAACAAAGTGGAATAAATAACTATTCAATTCACTTTTTTCCCCACATTTGACTATAGATCTGTTTCTAAATCAGATACATTTGCCTAGGGCTGCAAGGTATATGCGGTAGACGGTAGAAACGGTATGAAGTTGACCTACGGTAGAAATTTATACTCTTATCGTCATTACATCATTGCACCTGTGTCAACAGGGCTCCGAGCGCAGAGACAACTGAGCAGGAGTTCGAAATATAATGACGAAATTCTAGCGTTTTAAAACACGTATAGAGAGTGTAAATCATCAAAATTTCCTCCTCCCGCTGTAGAAAAGTTACGTACGTCGTGTCGCGGGATCATTTCCTCCTCCCTCTCCTCTCCTCTCGCTGCACGTCGCACAGAGCGAAGCTTTAACAACTGTAGTTTTTCACACCGACTTGTCGGAGAAAAAACTTGTTTTTATGTATTGTTACCCACAGAGATTATTAAAAAAAGATGTGGACGTTCGTTCAGTTATAAATCCATCTTGCTAATGTAAAGTCGGCTTCTGCTCTGATGATGATGAAGATGAGCGCGCAACAGAGCATCAGCTGATATGTTCAGCAGGGAGAAGCTCATTGTTTGGCAGGGAGATATTAAAGCAAAAATGTTGGGTTTAATTAAGATTACAGTTTTCTGCAAAAAAAAATGCTCTAAAAATTACATTATCTTAACTTTTTATGATAATTCTCCACCGCGATATATACCATTACCGTGAAGGGGTTCAATTTATACTGTGATATGAATTTGAGGTCATACCGCCCAGCCCTACATTTGCCCCACTTCATCCAACTTTTATGTCATTAGAATAGTATGGGTGTGCAGATTAATCCAGAAATTGATATTGACACCAGCATCGTGTAGTTTAAAGTTTGGAACTTCACATCTTAAGACACATAATATATGTCCAGTTCATCGTTTTGAAAGCCTTTTAGCTTTGTCATGTCCTGTATGACAGAATTGAAATGGTAAATTGACTATACTTTTATAGCACCTTTAATTACAACCAGGACACTCAAGGTGCTTTACAACACAATCTGTGCCCTCATCACTCTAATATACAGTATCTCTCTACAGAGCTAAACTGGATAAATCATTCTATAGCCCCTTCCCCATAGCATGGTTTCAAGTGCAGCCTCAGTCAAAGGTGTCTGCATTTTTAGTTCATGTGCAGTTTTTGGATCCAGCCCAGCCATAGTTCCACGCGGTCCATGCAGAGTATTGCGCACAAGCGATTTTGACATCAGCAGACTTCTGCCAGTGAATTGACAGAGCCAATGTGGAACGTGTAAACTCCTGCTGGAGAAAAGCACAAACCTTTTTATCAATAGACGAGCGGATACAGCTTGAGCTTGATGAGGCGGTCCGAAAAGAGTAGTTATACCGGGAGGTTACACATGCACTTAAAAACAGTGCCGCAACATATTTTTGAAGTCCAACTACCGAGCGACGCTGCCCGCTGACGGCGTGCCCACAATCACGCTCACAGAATGAGGGACACACTGCCACAAAGCCACACCTACGCTTGAGTATAATCAAACAGACAGGAAGCAGTTAGAGCAGGGGTGGGCAATCCTGGTCTTGGTCCAATCCCATGATTGCCCACCCCTGGGTTAGCTGTAGACTTGGCATTGGAGTAAAGGTTTAAAGAGACTGAATTCTTTAAAACACACTCATACAGCGATGAGACGCACATCAGGGGCAATCAAGAGTTCAGCGTCTTGTCCAGAGACACTTTGACATGTGACTGTATAATAGTGGAATTGAACCCCCAACTCTCATTGGAGGACAGTTGCTCACAGTCACCTAGATTTACACCACCATATAGTAAAGCCCAGTCACACCACAACCTTTTAGAGATTTAGAGACCTTATGTTTTTTCTGGTGTAAGTTTTGAATATACCATGGCCAGATAGTAATTTTATAAATGCACAAAATTTTCAGCGTAAGTCGACATGCTGCTCATAAGTAAGTTATGCATAAATTTACACACAGGGCATATAAGTTACTCGTAAGTAGACATGCCTCAGAAACCAGTTGAGGAATTGTCTAGTGTACAAGAAACTTATTTCTATGAGCATCTTGACTTGTGCAAAATTTATGTATGTTGGTGTAATTTATGCATGGCAAGTGGGAGCGTATTGCAACGAGACGTCAGATTAAAGGAAAGCAAAAAAAAGGATCTGAGTAAAAATCAGAATTGTATTTGTAAAGAAGTCTATAATAGTAGTGTGAATTCATTTTCACAGACTGAACGTTCAGCCCAGACATGTGGAAAAGTGACATTTTTAGCTGCTTTTGTTCACTGCCTCCATTTATGTCACTGTTAGACAGTTGGCAGGCTTGTTTTGAATGATAGCCATACTGTGTGCTGTGAGACAACTGTGGCTTTCTGAAAACTTTGGTCTCCCGTTATGTAGTCTAATCTTGGCGTAAACACCACACTACTGTCACTTTTCCTGATGTGTGAGTGAAGCTGTGATGGACGTTAACACAGAAGTGACCAGTGACTGAATTTTGTTGCTGCATCAAGTGAAATGTTTGTGTGAAAGTGTAGCAAGCATTTCAAGTTTAGTTTAGTGGTTTATTTGGAGACTAATAATTGACACCATAAACCAAGTTGTTGGTGTCTAACTGGTTTGACCTGTGTTTCCTTTAGGTCCAAAAAAGGCGGCTGTATGACATCACCAATGTTCTAGAAGGGATTCATCTTATTAAGAAGAAATCGAAGAACAACATTCAGTGGATGTAAGTTCCTCCTGCTCACCTGAAAGTGATTTTTACTTTTATTTGTGGACTCAGGCATCACAAAACTATCTACAGAAAGCCTAACTGAAGGCAAATGGACTTTTTCAAAAAGAAAAAAATAAGTAGGTCCTCTGGATGGGTTCTTTAGTGAAACGGTTCGTCTCTCCAAGAGACTTCTTCAATCTGATGAGTTTCATGTGAACTCAGCCTTATAAGCACTGCCTCCACATGGACAAACAGGTTATTCACATGCAAAAGAGGGCCATCGCCTAACAATAGGCTTGCTTAGCTCTATTGTTCATAGAGGGTCATGTGCCCCATCATCTGACCCGTGTCGTGTTATGTGTATGTAGTGAGTGCAGGTGGGGCTCGATGTCCCCTTGTTTTTGTTTTTTCCCTCTTTGTGTTGGTATCGTTGGGGCCCTGATTCACACCTTTTGCTCACAGGGGGCTGAGTCATACATGCAATGACAGCGTTGTAGGAGGAGGACAACTGGACACGAAGGCCTCCACCTCTGTTTAATGGTGGACAGTTTTTCTTCACAAAGATGGCTTCCTTTACTCCTCTCTCAAACCATCGTTCCTCTCTATCAAGGATGAGAACATCTTCATCCCTGAAAGAGTGACCGCTGGCCTGTAGATGAGTGTAAACTGCAGAGTCCTGACCCAACGAAGTAGCTCGTCTGTGCTGGCTCATTCTTTTGAACAGTGGCTGTTTTGTTTCCCCGATGTATAACTGATCACAGTCCTCCTGACACCTAACAGCATATACTATATTACTCTGTTTTTGCCGGGGAACTGGATCTTTGGGGTGAACTAATCTAATAATAATCACGACACGGGTCAGGTGATGGGACACATGACCCTCTATGAACAACAGAGCTAATCAAGCCTATTGTTAGGGATGGCCCTCTTTTGCATGTGACTAACCTGTTTGTCCAGGTGGAGGCAGTGCTTATAAGGCTGAGTTCACCTGAAACTCATCAGACTGAAGAAGTCTCTTGGAGAGACGAACCGTTTCACTGAAGAAGAACCCATCCAGAGGACCTACTTAGTTTTTCTTTTTGATTTTTTTTCTACCTGGATTACTGAGATGCATCAGGACAAATGGGACTTTTTATTTCATTATTATTTACCTCCCAGTTTAAAAACCTTTTTCAGCCTTGAGTTGATTTTCCTTTTTCTTAAACTGAGAAAGAATCGGCTAAAGAACTCTTTCACTGCAGACTTCAACCTCTGTTTGTTACACTCTGTCTGTGGAGTAAGTATCTCTTAGGGTCAGCAGCTGTTTGAAGAAGTTATTTTAATGAGAGGTTAAATGTTTTAACAAGGTAGAAATTCAGTTGCCTTCTATTCAAGACTTACTATCACTCACTAGGTCCTAAAATGTATGGAAATCTGCATGGACACTGAGGCCCCTTAAGAACAAAACACAAACTGAGCAGTGTGGTAAAAACAAGCCGCTACATTAAGACATGTTCAGACATGTGTATGGGACAATACAGAAGAGCCAGCTCTTCACATCAAGCCTCATCTCTGTTGTTTTGATGCCCATACTTAGTTTAGACGACAGAAGAGAAAGTGATCAAAGTGTTGGCTTATTATAAATCATGTTGTCATTGTAATATTAAACAAGATTACAAATTTCAAAATTTGGGGTGGGGTGGTGGGGTGTTATATCGTTATATTAGTTTAAACTGGTCTCCAAACAATATTACCGTTTATCACAATGATTTCAGAGACGATTTATCGTCTAGTAAAATTTGTTATTGTGACAGGTCTAAGAGCAATGCTTCTTAGCAATAAATCTTATACCGTTGAAAAGCCTGTTAATGTCCCTTTTAAATGGTGCCACATTTGTAAGGAACATGCTTTTGTGGGATGAGCAGTAGAGCTGAGTGTGTGGGTTGTTCACATGAAAAATATCAAATTTTCTCTGCCATACAGGTTATTTTGCTGTTTCTAATGACTCTTGTTTTGAGCTTCTGGTACCCCAGGTGCTGCCAGTCATGTACTCGATGTAAGATTTATTGCCAAGAAGCATTGTTCCAACAAAGAAATACTCTACCAAATGCAAATTTCCTTATTATTATGCCAAGTTTATTTGAATAGTTAGGCAGGATCTAAGGCATTTAGCTTAATATGTTGATAACACTTTCTTTTATGGTATCCTTACTACCATGTAATTACAAGGTAATCCAAAAGGTAAATAAATGTAATTGCTACTTTTTATTATCATGGAATTAGGGTACAATTTTACTATGTAATTGAACACCTAAATAAGTAGTGGGTAATTTGGACAGTCTTAAAGTTATATTTTATTGCAATTAACCACTAACCCCAAAATATAGTTGCATTCTTTTGGTTATATAGTGTTGAGTTACTATTGAATAATAATTTGATTGCAGTTACCCAATAAAGGTAGTTTTACTAACAGTAGTTTTTCTTTTGTACCCTAATTACCACATAATTACATGGTTATAAGGTAGTAATTACATTTAATGACCTTGTAATTACATGGTAATAAGGGTACCGTAAACGAAAGCGTTACCAATATGTTGTGGCTTCAAGAGAAAGTTTGAGTTGCTTTTGTCAGACATGTTTGCTGCACTGTCGGCTCGTAAAAAGCTCCAACTTAGTCTTTTTTTTTTTGTTCCCATTCTTTCTCCTAGGGGCTGCAGTCTGTTGGAGGTGGAGGGAGCACTGAGCCAAAGTCAAAGTCTGACAGCTGAAGTTTCCGCTCTGGGTGAGGAAGAGCAGAGGCTCGAGCAGCTCATCCAGAGATGCAGCCTTGATATGAGACATATGAGCGAGCTGCCATGCAACCAGAAATATCCTTTTTGTTTGTGGATTTCATCTTCTGTTAAGTTTAAATAACTTTCTGGCTAACTTTCCTTTTGTACACAAACTTTCATAACTCATCCTGTCATTGGATAATAGCTATGATCTAGTTTTTGTTGTATTCAGTTATTCTTTTTTTTAAATAGTGTGGTGTCTATAGCTTAGAGCTGTAATTATAAAAAAACAAACACTACCATTAAATATATTATGCATGTCCTCATAACCTTGGCTGGTTTCTTTAACACTTGTTTCTACATATGCGTATATATCATATCAAGACATCAAACAAGTGGACAGCCTCAGAGACCAGACTGTTATCGTCGTCAAAGCACCAGCAGACACCAAACTGGAAGTACCGGACCCTGACGAGGTTGGTGAAAACGCATAGAAACAGCAAAATAACAACAACTAACTTTAACCTTTCTGCTGTAATGAAACACAATTTTACTTTCTGGTCATTTGACCTGCGTTTGTCTTAATTAGTTAATAATTTTTTTTCTGTTTTTTTTTTTCAACAGTTTGGTCTGTGATTACTTTAATTTCTTTTGTCAGTATTATGGCTGGGTATTGTTAACAATCTCACAATTCGATTCAATACCGATTTGCTGTGTCATCATCATCAACATTATCTCTATAATTAATCTGTTATGTAATCTCACATCCAGGAAGTGGCGCAGGTCATGTATCACCTCACCTTTTTTTGGCCCAAATCCTGTGTAAAATTGAACATTGCCGATATTTACAATAAAACATGAATGTCTGAAAATACGTTTCATGGTGAAAACTATGATTTAAAAAAAAAAGGGTAAATGTAGATGCACCTTAGTGTTAGTCGTACAAGTTTGTCTTTGTCTTATAGTTTTATTCAAGAACTAAAGTCACAGAAATGGACACTAACGCTAACTGTTTTTAGGGGTGGGCAAAAATATTGATTCATCAGTGCATTGCAATCCATTTTATTTTTCTAATTCAATATCGATTCAGAAAATCTTCTGAATTCAGTATCGATTCAGAGGATTTTTTTTAATCAATTTGACCCCCTGGGCCAAATTGCAGGGCTTAAAGTGCTCCAGCCTGGCAGCCGGTTGCTGATAATGGCATAATGGGCGCTGGTCAAGAGAAATCAGGAAAACGTAAAAAGCAGACAAAATGGGTAAATGTAAACTCCAGCCAAAGTGACTGAAGGCTGTTTAGTGACGTTTGAAAGAAAAAAGCAGAACCGATTGATATGAAAAGTAAACTAGTGTTGCGCTAATGACCGTCCTAAAGTTTGTCCTGCCTTTAGATATCACATTATTTCTGGTTTATTTTCAGGATCTTAATTTAATTCCTAAAATTCTGTAAACATTTGTAGCATTTTCAGCTCATTTATTAAAACCTGTTCTAGAAATTTTTGTTGAGACAATTTTGGAGTTACTTTTATTTATTTATTTATTTATTTATTTATTTATTTATTTATTTATTTATTGAATTCTTTAATGAAATAATTAAATCAGTTTTCTTGCTTAGAACTTAATTTTGTGCATCGGTTTAAACATGTTTTTTATGCACTAGATAATTCCATGCACACTCTTGGACGCTTGTACGTTTAGTCAAGGAGACTTATAGATTTTCATGTTTAATGTTGTTTCTTTATTTCGCTGCTCCAGAGTTTATCCATTCACCTAACCAGCACCAAGGGTCCGATCGAGGTCCTGCTGTGCCCAGACGAGGAGAACGAGATGAGTCCTGTGAAAAGTAGAAACACAGACATCAATGGGAACTCGCCTTTCCTAAAAGTCATTCAAGGTGTGTTTCATTGAGTATTAGTGTGCAGCAACGTTTCATTCACTCTGGGTTTAAATATCTTAATTTTTTCTCTGAGAGGAGAATGTAGAAATGACTCAGCCTGCAACTGGAAAGGATGATGGAGGATAAATGAGACCAAGACCAGTGTAGTTGTTAAAATCATAAGTTAGCTATCATTAGTAAACATGACTGCTCTATTTGTTACAAGTAAATTATAGTAGAAGGGTTGTTCTGACACAAAGCCACACTTTGCAGGGCTCTAGAGTGCGACCAATTTGGTCACAAATGCGACCTGATTTCCTAATAGTCGGACTTGAAAAAAATGTCCAGTCGCACTGGTGCGACCAGTCGTTAGAGGGGGAGTGGTCGCCCGCTGAAGAAAAAATGTTTCCACATTCCATCAAAAAATAATCCAGCAGTATCGATGGTCGCCCGCCGACAGTCTCCATCTCTCCTAATAACACAGCGCTCTGCTCGCGGGCTCCGCTCCACACCTACCGCACACACACGTTTGTTGTTCTATCCTCATGGGGACTTTGCATTGGCTTCCATTCATTTCCCCATCAATTCTATAGCCAACCATAATCTCCCAGGTAGGCTACAAACCTGACCCAAACCTCACCATGAAGCAAAAATCTGCGCGCACACACACACACACACACACACACACACACGTGTGTGCGCACGCATAGCGAAACAACCGTAGGTTTTTTTTTAACCCGGATCGGAGTCTGAAACACATTTCTTTTTCTTGTTAGCTGGAGATGAAAACAAGATGTGGACGGTTGCTYGCTCGTCCATCTTGTTAATTTAACAGTCGGGGTCTGAGCGCTGCCGATCATTTGAGCAGAACGAGGAAGCTCACATGTATGGCAGGCCGCTTTTGCACTTAATCGACTTCACCACAGTTACATTCCAAATATCTGAAGTAGATTCTGGTCTCAGGAGGATAAAACTAGACTTATTAAATATTTAAGTGAAATAATATAATAAGATTCAACTAATGCTGAAATTGCAGACTTTTATGTGTTATTAT